ATGTGCTGGGAAAAGGAGGGACTGGAGATATGAGGAATTTTTCAGGGTGCAGGGAAAAGCCTGACACTTAAAGGGAAAGAAATATATGGTACATGGAATACAGCAGCTCTAGAGTGGCTGGTGAATTCACTGTGCTCTTGGCTCAAGATCTGGACAGTTTGAATTGTCCTACAGATCCTCTGACAGCAATTATAGGACCTGCAGTAGAATATATTGTTATCATTGTCCTTAATTACACAAAACGTCCCCAAGATTCTGTCACACTGCTCTGTTGACCACTCTGTAGTATGCCAAGGAGCAAAGCCATGGTTCTTGCCTAACTGCACGAAAAAAGACTGATGTGAAAAGACTCAAATAAATCTTACTTACAAGATGGTTTTAAGAGTAATGTAGAGTATCCATTAAAAAACACTCCTGTAGTGCACTGTAATAATCCTTAAATTAAGCCTTTGAATGGACCTAGTTCTTCCAAAGACCACCAGCAACTCTGTGTGGTACCATTTTGCACAAAGGGCTTTAGAGTAACAATCACTGTCTGACACATTGCTTTTTTCCTAAAGAAAACCAATACCTTGTATGGATGCTAAATTCATCTCAGGTGAGGTGAAGCCAGATAGCCTGTATGTATAACCTCCAGAAATCCAAAGCTTCCCAAGCTTTTGGATTACTTTGGATAAATCCAAGCTTTTATCTCCTCAAGTACCCTCAAAGTGCACATTTGGGGCTCTGCTACTGAAGTGAAAGGTCTGGATGCTGCAAGTTTCCCAAACAACTGAAGGCTGACTGTCACAAATGATTGTGATAAAGAAACAAGTTATTTGTGGATATCATCCCCTCCAGAAGTGCTATTTGTGCAGAGTTTCATTGCGTGAAAACACTCACACCAGAACTAACACTGATCACAACTGCATCATGAAATTGTTGACTTCTCCCCCAAAGAGTGAACTGCATTAGCAATTAAATAGTTGTATGCCTCCTGCATTCAGCAACCTCTCTCTTTAGATATCTAATCAGCATTAATTTAAATGAAGGATAATCAGCAGATACACTCATGGACAGGTGCTGAAATGATGCCTGAAAATTTAACCACTTGATGTCTTGTGGCATGCACTAGCAGTTGGGGCCCCAGTAAGACAGAACACATGGCAACAGAGGCAAAATCTTATCACGGGCAGTAAAAAAGACTTAGAAAAATCATGAATGGATTTCAGAGGAGAGACTAGATTAAAACACTTGGGTATTCTCCCCTTCAGCAGACAACAAAACCAGTAAAAGCCATTTTATCTTTGTCTTCCCACGTTTTGTCTATAACTAAGTGAGCATGTTGGTGTTTTAACTATACAGACATTTATGACCAACACGCAGGCAAGTACCTGGTGGTGCTGTTCCTAGATTTGTGTGTGTGCTGATCCACCAAGGCTCAAATAGCCCAGCAAAATATGTCTGCAGACAGAGCACATCCACAACACTCTCAAACTTCACTTGGCTTCCTTGCCAGGCTTGTGGGACTCGGGCAGGTCCCAGCTCCTTTGTCCAAGGAAATACCTCCCAGTAGTCTGCTGCAGTTTTGTCTCAACAAGAAGAGCAGGTTTGCAGGCTACAAATGTTTTTTTTTTTCCCAAACATTCTCAAAACCTCACAGAGCAGCCATCACATCAGTGTTTTCCACATGTGACAGATGCTGGAAGTTACTGGGAAACGCTTGGGACAAGATCCCATGGGAGAGGCAGATGGAGTGGGCAGAAGGTTCCCAGGAGAGGTGGCAGGGGAGCTGGCCGGGGGCAGACCCGAGGTGGCCCTGCCTGCACGTCGCCCATACAGAAAGCAGGCACGAGCCCACACACCCAGCTGAACCCCTTCACCCTGTGAAATGGATAGTCACCTATTTTAAACAGGCAAGTGTCTCCTGGAAATGAATGGTGAACCCACAGGCGAGGGTCGTCCAAGCGAAAGGTCTTTGTGTGCTCATCAGGATGAAACAGTTCCCAGCACCGTGGTCCCCACGAGGTTTTGGTTTGCTTTGCTACCTTTTTTTTTTGCTTTGCTACCATTACTACTACTCTGCTATTTCACTGGCACTTAAATAAATATGGAAAAGAAAACAGAGGCACATAGATAGTGGTGTATGGCAATAAAAATGAAAGCCAGACTGAATTTGGGATCATAACCATTTCTGTAATGTTGCTTGAGAACATGATCCTTCTGTCTAGGGTACTGATGCTGTGCCTCTCAGTATGACTGCCTGTGAGCCTGGCAGTATTTTACACAATATTGGGCCAAATGAGAAGATGCAACACTTCAAAAATGTGCACATATATCGAAGCTGACTGTCACAAAGGTATAATATCCCTTTTCTTACTAACATTTTTATGTTCTGGCCAACAGTTTGCCCTTCCAGTAGGTATTGTTAACATGTAATTATGTTTAAATAAACTAAGGAAGAAAATGACATATTATTTTGATTCAGTCTCATTAGACACCTCTTAAAACTACCTCAGGGCCCTTTTAAACATGAAGAATGCCCACAGTTACGAGTTTTATAAAATATACTTTAATCTTGCATTCTGTAACTACTTAAAGATCTTGCCAGTAGCCATTTCTTACTGCATCCCCTCTTTGTATTCAAAGCTTACCTACTGCAATGAGTCTTCATAAAGAAATACATTAATTAAATATGCCTTGGCTTCACTAGCCTGGGAAAAGATTATTAATCATCTCGCAGGCACAAGCACAACATAATACCTGCTACCACTCACGGGCACCTCACACACACTGACTACTGCTGCATGATGTAATTGCCTCCAACAACCTTGAGCACACAAAGAGACTTTCTCCCACCAGCGCCGTGCCACTCGCTCACCTCGTGCAGCATAAAGCAGCTGATGCTTTTGTGAGATGTTCAGGGCTATTATTTTTCCCTTTTTTTACATCACTATGCCAGCATCTAGTGAAACACATTTGGAGTGACCACCCTGATGCTAGATGTACAGAGGACATCGATGGCTTGAGCAGGGCAGGGTTGTTGGTGTCTCCTCACCAAATCCTCCTGGGGAGCTCTCACCAGCACAGAGGGGAGAGTCAGTACCAAACACAAGATGCAGCTGTAACCAGCAAACAGGTTTGTCATGGGCAGGGTCACTGAATGCAGTGTTCTTTAAGAAAAAAAAAGTTGAAACATAAGAAGCATGACCAATGGTCTCAGATACTTGAGGTACAACCACATTACCTGTTGTGTAATATCACTGCTGAGTTGGACTTCAGTCAGAATAAAAAGGTGTTTCATGTGTATTTATACCCATGGGTAGTTCCACAAACTCTGTTAATATTTTATTATGTGAGAAAGGTAAAAAGGAGCTGTGGCTTAGAAATGAAACATGTCAATTATTACCTGACCTTGACTAGAACTTTGAAATGCTCTTTAATATGTTGACAATATGTGCTAGGCAGCAATTATTTTTCATGGAAAATGTTTCTCTTATACCTCAGTTGTACCTTCATTAATAACAGGTCACCCTCAGAGGTTCAAACTTCTCACTTGACAAATGGAAAAAAATTGAAAAGTTTTGAGTAGCCCTGTTTAGAGTGACACTGATCAGAAGGCATTTATTTTTACCTAACATAGTTAAAGGAGTTCAGATTAATGTTCAGAACTGCATAGTGCTTTTTTTTTTTTTTTTTGGTCCTCTTTAGCTACTTGCCTCAATTATGCTGTATGGAGAAGGTCACTCCCTTCCATCATGTTTGAACTGGTTGCCTTTTCTCTTCATCGGAGGTCCTATTAACTGAGCCTACACTGACTCCATTACTCACTTTCCCTACTTCTTATGGTGAATCAACATAAGTAAGGAACCACAGGTGTCCCTCAAGTCTTCTCTAACCTTTCTCTACTACCAATGTCCTCTCCTACCCATTTTTGTCCCTCAGCCTCTCTGTTCCCAGCTCCTTTTTCCCCTCTCCTGCTCAAGATATTTTCGTGCTCCTTCCAGCTCCATGATGCTGAAGGATGCATCTCCTCCTACTCTTGCTACCCACTGCTGCACGTTACATCTAGGTGTAGAGTTGATGAGGAAATTTGTAAAAATTCCCTCTCATCAGCTGGCTCACCCTGGGTTGCCAGTGAAGGGAAAGGCACTGGGGTGTCACAGGGAGATGCTGTCAGACAGGGCAGCCTGCTTAATGGGAGCAGGAGGGAGGGAGCAGCAGGGGGAAAGTGAGGGGAAATCAAAGTGTGATCTACCAGAGCAAGGTGGGAAATGAGGCTCCGAAAGAAGGTGTGAGCTGAATGCTAACAACCTGAATGCTTGGCTCGGGTCCTTGCCTTACTGTCTGCTGTGGCTGCAACAGATCCTCTCCTTTTTCCATCTTCAGCTGTCCCTGGGTAACTTGACCCAGGCTCAGACATCAGTTACTGTCACAATTTGTGGCTGGCTGGTGCTGAACCAGTAGCTAAAGCCCAGTGAGCAATGTGCTCACCACACAGTGTGTCACTGAGAGGCCGGGATGGAGGGATGAAAATCCCTTTTTAAGCTGTTTGGATAGGACTCCAAATTTGAAATACAACCCTGACATTCCTACAGGATCTATAATACTCCTTGTGTTTTTTCACGACAGCCCACTCCACCCTGTCCCTTCCCAAAGAGACACTGCAGTCCTCATTTTGCAAAACAAGTATCTAAGACACTGTGACCTCAAACATGTCACGTTCAGGGTGCAAGGGGCAGAACAGACAGCCACAAACAGGTCCCTGAGCAGAGAACCCACAAGCTATCCTTCCTTTTTTGTTCAGGCTTACAAAAATCTCCTTTCCACAGCTTCCAAACAAGAGGTGCAATTAGATATATTTGATAAATCTCAATAATTTGGAGTAATTTATACATCCTGTTAAAAAAAAATGAATTTAAAAGTTGCTTCAGTATTAGACTCCAAATAGATGAGCTAAAAGAGCAAAGGTTTGTTTATAAAGTTAATAGAAGACAAGAAGTGGTACTTTCTGTGCTTACCTTCAGCACTGTGATATTCCATGCAAAACTCTCGATGGCTTTGCTTAATTTTCTTCCTTTCAAACCTTCCTTTGTCCCGAGGTTATGAAGCTCTTCGTGGAATTCCATTCCTAAAAACACAGATTTATATTTTTTTTAACTTTGTACGTAACTCTCCTTTCCAGTGCTGGATTCCCCCCCAGGCACACGCCTGGCACCCCCACAAACACTCCTTCAGCACTTCTGCTGGCAGTCTGCATTGCTGGCAATACTGCAGCAAAAGGCAATCACTCCTCACCTCCTCGAAGAGATGATTTTGTAGCCTGGAAGGCAGCCTTACAGACGTGGAAATACCTGTTCAGCACAGCAAATACAGACCCAAATGCACAGGTCCTCATTAATCTTCATCAGTCATACGGAAAAGCCCTTGTACCCCACAGTGATAAATTACAGCAGAAATACACACTGCTAATCACAGGATTGCTATTCCTGCAGCCTGGAGGACTGACACTTCCAACAAAAGCCCTGGAAATGCTGCATTTCGTTGCTAGTTTCTGTGGCAAACGTCTGCAAATCCATTGCTGGATGCAAGACTGCAAGAAATCTGGGAGCATATTAAAAATCTTAAGGAATCCAATTAGGCCAACCAATTCAACACTATCTGTACAATGTATGCAAACATTCCTCAGAGTCTGGTCTGGATTAAGAGAAAAAAAGGAGATAGAGTTGCTTATGTTCCCTTAACTTCTACCTTACAAAGGCCAAATTGGCACTAAACCACTCCAAAAAGTCTGAATCTCGTCTTGGCTGAACAAGCCAAGCTCTGCCTCCAGCTGTTTCACAGCTCTCCCCTCCCTAATGTTTTAAGGCAAATGCCACTTGCAAATTGGAGTTTCATGGAAATGCCATGACAGAAATGCCCATCAAGAGAACACCTGCATGGAGCAGATGCGCAGAGCTGTTCACCGGGCTGCAGGAGGAGTCAGTCCTTCAGGAGCCCAAGGCAGCCTTGCCATCAGCATAGCTTGCCCAAAGCACTCCTGGGAGACTTATTTTTCCCTCTGGACCTCACTTCCCTACCTGTAACTTGAAGACAGTGCTGCCCCAAAGAGAGGGAGCCACAAACATGTTAGAGGCACCAACTAAAACACTGAGCAGTTCACCCCTCCAAACTGCTGCTGACTACAGTGCATTGGGCTGAGACTGCACGTGAAAAAAACCCAAACAAACAACAAACCCAGCCACCTGAGAAGCCACCTGTGGGAATGGGTAGGACCCTGAGGCACAGGGAACCAGGACCACAACAGCTAGGGTGTGAAGCAGAGGTCTGCTGGGAACACATGTTCAAAGGGAGCAAGACTGGGGTGAGGTGAAGGACAAGGTCACAGGCAATTGTACCTCTGACAACTCTGAATTTTGAGTGCTTCGTCTTGCCACATTGAAAATTGCCACATTGAAAATGTTATTTAACAGTTTGCCTGAGTAACATTTGCACCAAACTAATCTGCAAGTGAGCGTGGTGAGTGATCCTCTCTCCCCTACTCTTTTCCTCTGTCTAAATCCTGAGTCTTCAGAAGAGCACTTCATACCTCTCCAGCCTTCTCCTTAATCAAAAAATGTATTTTAAGGTTAACAAAGCAAACCAAATGACAATACAAGTAGAGACAGCAGCAAAGAGAACAAACTCGATAAATTAATCTTTTTGCTGGGGGAGGGCAAGAGAGGGGGAGTGTGTGGAGCTCTGGGCACTGGTATGATGGCATGGTCTTGCACCAGTTTCTCTGCACACATCTCTGCTCACAAAGCCTCCACTGCCCAGGCAACGGGTTCTTCTTTCTGTACACAAGAGCAGGGTGGGCAGAAAGCTGGCTGATGTTGCTGATAATTTAGTCCAAAGTAGTGCTATTAATTTAGAGCATCTAGAAAGACCCCCCAGTGCTGCATTTTTCCATCACTATCCCATCCCTAAACCCTCTGCACCTGATGAAGGCTTTGGGCTGAGGTCATTTATGCTGCTTATGCAGATACACAGAAGCCAAGGCACAACACAAGATGAGGCCCACAAAACCCATCAAGCCATAACTGCTTGTCTCTCCTCCCTTTGCTACCCTACAGCGTCAGCACGGCTCAAAGAGCAACAACAAAGTTCCACCCTGCTCTTCCATCACATAAAAATCAGTTCAATGCCATTATCGAAAGAGTTTCCAGATTTCCTCTAATTAAAAAGATGAATTAAAGCATTTGTAAAACACCAGTGTCATTCATTATTTACATTTAATAGAAGCAAATGGCTTGTAGCCTGCGTCACTTGCCAAATCCCAAAATGCCTATCAGAAACAAAAGTATTTAGGATTGTTGTGGTCCCAGAAGACTATGCCTAAGAACACAAATGGAATGAAGTAGCAAGGGTGTGCATCACTGACCTTCAAGGCTTGCTACAGGGTAAAAAGGTGCAGTGAACAACCACAAGAACAGGAAAGAAATTTAATTTCTGCAGTGTAAAACCCTGACAGAAACACAACGTGTGTATGTCCTCAGCATGGTTTCTGACACCTGAAAGCTGATGGATGTATTTGTAGATTAGCACTGCCAAATGTGGACTCCTACCTCTCCAGCAGGGCTAATTCTTGTGTGTCAATGGGAACTACAGGATTCACGTCCCAGTTCCAAGTTTAGCCTGCTATCCTGAACAAGTGATGAAGAGGGGTTTGCATGAATAACCTGAACTGTGAATCCCAGACACTTTGGTGATTTCTACCACCCTGAAAACCACCTCTTCCCTTCCTGCTGGTGCACACGAGGCAGAGCCCTAGTCCAGACAAAGACATCCAGTACAACACACCACCAACACATGATGTACTTCAAGCTCCTCACAGTGGTTTGTGCCCCTGCACCTGACATACATAACCCATAGCCACACAGACTCACTGTGACAGAGTGGAATGTATTAGCATATATTTCCAAAATCTAAAACAAACCTAACAGCAGAAGTAAGTAAAAGTAGACAACAGAGCTTGGTTCTCTTGAGTGTCAAAAACCTCCTGCTTCCCCTGTCCTTAAGGGAATGACTGTGGAAGAGGATGGAAGTCTAAAGGCAGAATACCTTCTCACTGCCTCTTTTTCATTTCATGTCTTTCTAGTTCATTTGACTAATTTAAATGCTGTCAGAGATTTCAGAGCTGTAGAGCAGATGGAGAAATAGCTTTTAAGGTGAAATCCATGACTGCATTGCTAGTGGAGGATAAGCCTTCAGGAGGGCAGAGTTTGCCAGGGAAAGGCCAGGATGCTCTCTTAAATACCAGGTCAAAGATGCTGCATTAATCACAAACTGTAAGCAAATTATGGCACACTGTTTCCCATGGCCCACCCAGAGCTGCACAATAAAGAAGGATTACCTGCTTTCTGGCACTGAACAATCTTGTCGTGAGTGATGTCTGCAGTCTCAATGAGAACCCTGCTCTCTTGAATCATCTGTCAGAAAATAAATGGGAAAAAAAGGCAGCATTATGAGAGTTTCCTGCAACAGGCAGTGCACAGAAAAGCACAAAGGTTCAAACTTAAAAAGAGCTCTCCTCTGCAAGCAGCACTGTAAAGACTGGATCATTCCTCCATATCAGAGCTCTCAGATCTGTATCAAGGTAAGATAGTTGCTCAGAAAATGTTTTACTCCAGAAGTTAAAGAATTCCTGTTTTACATCAGTAGAGATACCACTGCACACAACATGAAAGAAACACAAGTGATTTCAGAAGAAAGCTGAGCTAGCAGACAAACAAAAGTCATTCTATGTGAAACTCAGACTTTTCTAATTAGTATTTTTCTTAAAATAAAAGGAGAAATAAGTATAGTCCTTGACATAAGTGGTTATCAAAAATGTTACCAAGTCATGAATAGCTCTGATTTCAAGAGGTACTTAAGCCTGTATTGAGCTCAACACACTACAGTGATTCAGGCAGCTACAGCATTTCTTGAGTTTCTCTCTGGAGAAATTCAGATCCAAACCCTATCCCATCCTCAACATTTCTGTTGAGGTTTAAAAGAAATGGAAGCAAAACCAAAAGAGGCAGGCCGTTTCAACAAGCCTACCCACAAGTTTCAAGAGATATCTGTATTTATGTATCTTCCTAGAGTAGCCCATTAACACCAAACAGGTGAAGTGTCCATTATGTGAAAAGTTTCCTGAGCCTCCTTTCTTGCAAATGGTATTCTCCTTTGATGAGAACAAACCTTCCTAAAACCTTCAGAAGCCCAGGCAAGCAAGCAAATTGTTCCAATGCTATGTTCTGCCATACACACACACATCTGTTACAGAAGGCAAGAACATGCTGTAAAACAAACTATGCCTGAGAATAATCCCACTCTCCTGGGATGTACACCACAAATCTCAACCAAATCCAAGCAGCATGAGAGAAGTGCCAATCAGAAATTAAGCAAAATGAATACTGGCTAATGTTACATCCTGAAATTACAGAAGCTGCCATCCAAAAGCTTTGCCAAGATGCTACAACTGCTAAAAGCCTTCCCACTTTCAAACACACTAAATATGAAAACACAACCAGTAGGTTTGGGTGATTTTAGTGGAAGATAGAATAACAGTATTAAATGAACACTTGCAAATTAGCATGTCTTATTGTTTTCATCAGACACAAGGCAGGAGAGATGCTTCCACTTGTCACAGTTAACCTTCCAAATTCCAGAGAAACTCAGATCCAAATTCTGCTCCTCACACCACCTTCATTTTTAAATAAACCTATTAAAGGAGCCCGCATTTAATAAAAATATCTATGCCTTTGATATAAACAAGAAAATGTGGAGGAAAAAAAATCCATTACCAGCTTCACGGGCAGAGAGAAAAAAGCCTGATACACCTACGGAGTGCAAAATTGTTTTTTAACAGAACATGGCCAGTGGATATTGCCTGAGATTGAAATTACTTTCAATAGTATCCTCTGCCTTTCACTCTTATTACTTGCTTGTTCGTGCGTCATGTTGATTTTCTCCTCTTTCGTATTTTCACTTGTCATGCAGAAAGAAATGACAATTTCTACCCACCCTCTGGCTTCTCTGAAGCATCCAGCTCTCCTGTGCTCAGATCTCTAAAGCAGAACTTGACTTGGGAGAGTCTTTCACATAATATATATACACACATATATATATATATAATTCATATGGCCATAGGAAATTATCCTACAATGCACAAAAAAGGCACACTTGAGAATCATATTTTGTCATCTAAGTTTGACCATATCTCCCTCCAGGTACTGGACCCAGTCCCAGGAGTTTCTGGCATGCCTCTTTAAGGATTCTCAGGCATGAAGGTATTACATTCAGTTTTTAAGAGAAAAGTGGCAATAGGGTGTCAGTTCTCCCTCACTGCAGTGCAGGTAGAGCAGCCCCCTACTCCTTTGATGCTGACATCAAAGCCTCACTGCTCTCAGCTCTGCAAGAACAAACAATCAAAAACAGATCATGTAGCAGAATTTAACCCATTCCTGTCTTCCTGCTCAGCTGCAATCTTGACAAAAAACCAGCAGCTCTTGTCCCATGACAAATCCCAAGAGTGGATGCAGAGTTCCTCACCCCAGCGACTGGGGTTAGGGGATGTCCTTAGGTGGCCACCTGGCACCCCCCTCACAGGTTCCTCTAGGAAATATTGCACTGGTTAGAATACATGATTTAAGATACATGATTTCAGCTGGCCCGTGGTGTCTTCACTGTGACAACACAGCATGCAGGACCTGGTATCTCTCCATGGCAAACCAGGTCCTGCTCCCAACAACAACTGCATGTGCAGTTCAGCAGACATAAGATCCTACCTTCTAATGCAGGAGAAGACCCTAACAAGGGGCAAGTGCAAGGATATTCACTTTGAAAAACCAGAGACTGATTCATACAACTAAAAGTACAACAGGCAAGTAAATGCTAACCAGGAATAAAATTATAGTGTAGGGTTTTGGGCGTCTTTATTTGGTTTGGTTGGAGGTTTGTTTTGGTTTGTTATTTTCTTTTCTTAAAGCACACCACAACAAATACTCTTGAAAGGATTCTGTGCAAATCCTGGCAACAGAACTGATAGAACCTTCAGCAAATAGCCAACCTAACCAGAAAGTCATAGAATGTTAGAATGACTTAGGTTGGAAGGGACACTAGAGATTCACTTTTCTTTTTTTTTAAATTTTCCCCTCTGATACATTTTCCCTTACACCTACAGCAGCAGCTTGGGGGACATTTATTAAGTAAACTTTGTAAAGGTCACCTAAAAAATCAAGATACTAGTAACTATTCACTGGAATTAACATTAACCATTTATCAGTATTCAATCTAATGCATGTAAAAGCAGGTAAGAGCCTCAGCTAGAAACTAGGACCCTACACATCCTTTCCTACTGGACACAGGACAGCAGGCAGCAGTTCTGGCAGGTTCCTGATCACAGAGGAGGATGCTGCCCAGAGATGCAGCATATGGCCCATGGACACCTCCACTTCATCCTGTCCATCAGCCCCTGGGAGACTTTGCTACTGCTCAACAACAGCTCCCTCTCACAGTGCTCTGTCATGGCATCTAGATATACTTTGTCTTTCTTGGCACTGGTTCTTAAACGAGTCTATGGTCTCCCAGTCTGAATGGTCCCCTGCTTTTCCAGCTGGCATCACATCTGAAAACCTGCTTGGGCATGTCATCTACATCTTGTGGTGCCAAGACAAGAACCAGAAGCCCCACACACAACATGGGGGGCTGTGAGATTTTCTGCTGGGAAGGTAACACCATAAATCATATGACAGCCTAAGATTTTCAAGCCCAGTTTTGCTAGTAACATTTTGAAATCCACTAACGTGTCCTGAGCCTTCTGATGTTTGCAGCATGAATTTCCAAGCACCTTTACTCTGCTCAGACCCGTGCTGAGCAGAGCTCTTGGGCAGTTGTGTAAGTCCCAGCCATCTGCCTGGAGCCCATCAGCCTGCTGTGTAATGTCAGCTCCCAAGTGGCAACCCGCTTTGGTGACTCTCAAAGAGCAAGAGAAGTCCCTCAGGAAAGTCCTGCTCCACTGGAGTGTTAACTCCTGAATGCTCAGCTTAATAAACTGAATAGCAACCTCCAGAGGATGGATGCAGGTATCTGGGTCCACTTGGAGTCAGGGAGGAAGTTTTCAGCAGGTTGTCAGCAGGATTGCTCAGGACAACTTGCATTTCCCAAAGATTCTTGCAAGGCCTGGGGGTGCTGGTGCTAACCCTCCTGGAGGGGCTGCAGCACCAGGAATAACTCTCACAACAAGTAGTGAATAAGGGGTGGTTCAAACTGACAGGAGATGCACATGGCACAAATCCCAGAAGGACATGTCACGTTTAATAAACTAATGGGAATGAGGAACACAAAGCCTCATCTGCACACATTAGGGCTTTGTTTTTCCAGCAAAACAGCTTATTTAATTTCAATATTCCTATGCAATGCTGAAGGCAAAAAGCCTAAACTTGATTCATCTCAATCTACCTGAAACACACTGTTATATCATGATGGTTTCTCACAAAAGCATGAGAAGCATGAGCAGACACAAACCCAGGAGATCTCTTGTCCTGTGTGACCCAGGAAGTGGAATGGACCATGGGCTGAAAATAACTGACCTGCCTCACTTTACTGTCTAAATACAGCATGCAATACCAAATTTAAAATCCCATTGCTTTGCAGAAAGACTTGCCACTTCTGTTAAGCGTTAATTCCAAAGATAAATAAATTTTAAGTGAAATTTCAAGTATCTTATGACTGAGGGCATCGTATTTTTACCCACAAGAAATTAATAGGCTTATTTATTGTTTGTAGTAAAGGCAGGTTAACCATAGGATCAGTATAAACTGAACAAAAAATGTTATTTCTTCTTACTTTAATGAACTCCTGTGATAGGGACCAGTTTCTTCCTTTCACTACAAATTATTCAACCAACTGAAAGAGGGAGAGGAAATTAACACAGGAAAGTCCCACTAAAATAAAAAAAAAAGATAAAAAAAGGACAGAAGAAACTCCTGGTGGCAAATTAAAGCACTGCTCCTGCTGGGAAGATAAATGATAGAAAAGGGACACTTCAAAGAATCCACTCATAAATATTCCAGAGTTTGAATAGAAACCCACTGAAGATCAAACTCAAAAGAAGTTTTCTCTCAAGTGTCTCCTCAAGGCCAATGTCCCAAGCTCCTACGCCTTTCACTGACAACGAAGAGTTCTGCCTGGGTAAGGAGTAACATTTCCCCCAGCAAAAATATAAAAGGTTACAAAAATAGAACCAATTTGTAAAAAAATCTGCAGCAGAAACTGAGCTCATGAAAATCTGCCTAGGATTGCCTCTTTAGCATTGAGCATTTCTTGCAGAAGTCTGGGAGAAGAAACAGCCAAGCAATCAATCATGTGCCAGCAAGTCCTGCAAAAAAAGGAAGGACGAGCATTGTGGGGCTAGGACATGGGAAGGAACACTGGCCACCAGTCC